GAAAATTCTTCTTCTTGTACTGTAGTAAGAACATATATATATTTTTGCTTGTTCTTATCTGATCAATAGAAACTCTAGTGAACGATCAGATGGTCTGCTCATGGCAGTGACCAGATTATTGCAATGTAAGAAGGATAGCCATTGATCCTTCCAAGAACAGATCACTGATTTCCTGATCAGGAGACTAGTTTTTCTGTAGTGGAACCAAAAATCCTTGGTCCAAACCATTTCCATAACTACATACTTGCTCCTTTGTTATCGTAACTCATTTGGGAGCTAATGAGCGTTGATTTTTCACTAAATATAACTGGCAATGGAGAAAGTTGTTTCACTTGGTACTACTAGCTGAAATTGCTATATAACGTTTTGCAATACTATTTATTCCACATAAGATCAACATCGTTCATATAAAATAAAGTTCATGTTCATCAGAACACTCGTTTTATTACTTATCACTTGGTAAAGAATAGTAAAGTGACACCCCTATTACCTAGAAAAAAGTTACTTTGAGATTTTTAAAAGACATTTTTGGGTGAAAATATTTTAAAATATTGATTTTTTAAAAGTAGCCAAAAATTGAAACATGAAAATTCAATTGAAAACATTGAACACGAGGAGAGCCGAAAATGGACCCTCGATGCATTTTGCAGATCGATCTAGTCTCAGAGGTTAAGAGATATATCAAGATCTCATATTTAATCCAGGTCATCTTACTTGTGAGAACAAATAAGAACATCATATCCGTTTTGAAAAATATTGTTTCGTTGCTGAGAAGATAATCTTTTTTAAATTCAGTGCAAAAAGCAAGACATTCTACCTATTATTTGATTTTCAGGTCGGTACTTTAATTCTGTATTTTTATTTAAACATATTTAAAAATATATAAAAATCTTTAACAAAACAAAGGTTTCGACCTCTTTTATATTAAGGTCTTCTTCAATGAACGTAATTAAATATATATAAAAATAGTTAAAATTCTGTTACATATCTCGCTGCCCACTACTTAATTATCGACCTGAAACTCAAATAATCTATGTATTTCGTATTGGTCAATTGTAAATTTTAAAATTCTATCCATGTTGCGCCATTTTCATAAAGTTTCGGTCTTTTTGCAAAATCAGCGTCCAAAACTGAGTCGAATGACATATATTTCCAAAATTTTGGGCAACTTTCATTTTTGTCTAATTTTTGCAAAAAGCAATTTGCAAGCAAGCAAACTGAATTTGCTCAAAATTTTTGAAGGGGCGGTCGGTTTAACAAGATCGTATACAATGATATACGATTAGCCATGGCCACTTACGGTCGTGCGTAGATGTATACCACGGATTTTCATTATCCTGGTTAGCCAAAAACTGTATATTTTACATAAAAAAGAAAGTTTATGAAATCCTCTACAAAACAATATTATTTGGAATAGAACACAGCTATTCTGTATTATATTATGAGCAACCTCAAACGAGAGTAAGGGAGCGTCAATGTTTCTGACATTATTCGCCGTGAATGAGAAGTAACTTGAATTTCAACATTTTCAACACCTCTCATCATTGCGGATTTTTCTGTGATATCAAGCGTTATATGGAGATGTTCATTCACATTAAACAATTGAATGGTAGCATCGTTCTTCTCTTTTTTCGTCGAAATCAAGTACAGAAAATATAAGTTGTTTCATTTCTTTGAAGAAATCTTTTCCTGTTGACATTTTTTCAAATCACAGGTCTATAAAATGCGATTTCATTGTTATTCTGATCCCTATAGAGTTGTTTTTATACAATGCAGGTTTCATATCTTGACAGTAATGAACGACGTGATCTCACCAGACAACACATCGTCGTATAATACAGCATAATATCAATTTGTAATATTTTTTTGCGTATTCATCGTGTACAGTAGCAAAAATAATAACATAAGGCTTAAAAATGTCATATTTTTAGGTCAAAAACTAAAATTAATAATAAACTTGTATCACCAAATGAAAATAGAAATTTTTTGAAATTGAAACAAACATTGTCACGGGATGTAACATGGTTGATAATCTATGTTTTCATTTATCTTCTCGACCTGAAGAACAGTCGACCGTGATGGTCCCAGGAAAACTGCTCGTCCGTCGGAATGATGATATATAAAAATTACTGTCACTGTGTGAGTTTGTAGACAACAGTCTGGAGGTTCGAACTCCCTTATACCTTCTGAAAAATATCTTTTTGCTCCTACTCTGGCAACCTAATCTTTCAAAGACTAATGAGGTACACCATCTGCATTTTTTGAGCTCACTTTTCCAATACACATATCCGATTAGATCTTGGCTACCTACCCACTGATGAAAACCGCACATTTTTCTCTTATTTCAGTCGAAAGTTATTCAAAGAATAGCCACCGGTCTTATATTTTGATTTTGGTAATAAGAATTCAAAAAAAGGAAAATAAATTTAGAAATCTTAATTTTCGTCCGAAACTTTCATTTATTTTGTCAGGGTTTTCGAACACAACAGACGTTTACGAGATAGAAGATTTTTTTTTAAACAGTCTGCAGACTACACATATAGTACGATGTCTTTTTATACAACATACAATTCGACATCCATGGACTTTTGCTCGTTATGGTACATAAGTGAGTGTCGACGGAGTTTGTATTTCTCTGCTAATAGTGTAATAATAACAAATGTTTCATTTATTCAAGAAAAAGGATGAATGAATACACTCAACTATGCAATAATACAATTCGTAAAAGTTGAGTAAAAAGACGTCAAAAGAGTCATCATAAAAAGACAAATTTCAGATACTGACGATAAGAGAACAAAATAAAAGACATTTGTGCAGAAACACAGTTTTTAAACAGAAAAAAAAATTCTAAGTTATCTATTCACAAAGTATAAGAAGCATCTGACAATACAATTAAATAAACATAAACAAACAAGTTATGATGCCAAAAAAGTAATCGAGGTCAAAATGATTATAGTTCACTAGAAACTAAAATCTAGTCTTAATAGAAAGAATCTTGTAAATGTTCAATCGATTGAATCAGTTTTGATAAATCGGCTTTAAAACAATTAATTTCAGTTGGACATAAAACATGTTTCTGAGATAATTTTTCAACTTTTGGTGCCACATATTGTTTATAAGTACAGATTAATTCCTGACGCTTTTGTTCGAATCTTTCATCGGCTAGTTTCTGTTCGACATCAATCTGTCGTTTTCGTAGTTCATAATTCTGTCGACATTTTTCAAACCATTCATCATTACGCGCATGATTCTGTTGATGTTTGGTATCATTCATTTTCATTGATATTAATGTTGAATTTGTTTTGCTAACTTCTATAGAAAGTCGATTGTATTCATCTTTTAGAGGAACTTGGTACTCATTCAGATGTTCATGATAACAAGAACATCTAGGAACTGATGTTTGTTCACATGGTGAAGACGAATTTTGACATGGTTCACGTGATTCTGAACAAAATCATAAAATAAAATTGAAATATTCATAGGGTCTTGCACTACGTTACTCACTATCTCTGTTTGCCCGCATACGTTCATCGGCTTCAATACTTTCATTAGATGATATTTGTTGTTCATAAGATTTTACAAGTTCATTATCTGGCAAAGAGTCTAAATAAATTATTGAGTAAAAGTTTCACAACTATTATCATTTTATTTCAAAAATAAATAAATCATTTTGAAGGTTAGTTTGTTCATTTATAACTTTAACGTTATTAAGAGACACTACCCTAGCAAAATTAGCTAGAAGCCTGCTAGTTGAGATAAAGGTATATTTGGTTTGGTACATGTATCTGTCACCAGAATGCAAAGTACTTTTCTCATTAGGTGTTTTTTTTAGATGTTCTTCAAAAGGTTTTCTAATTCTCCTAAAACACATGATTTTCCAGAAGATTTTAGAGTGTGCAAAATCGAGTCGAGTTTTGTGAAGAAAAGCTATATTGACATATACGAAAAAGTGTCCTCTTCAAAATGAGACGTTTTACAGACATCTTTCGTTAGATTGGAACTGATTTATTATATCTGTGAAAAACGTCTTAACTAGGCATGCATCAGTTTTTAACGGGTGTTGGGGCATCCGGGAGAATTGCTACAAATCAGTTATCACGATTCTCTGAGAGCTGTAAAACATCTAATTTTGTAGAAAAATGTTTACTCTACAAAATGCATTTGTTAAAAGAATTCCAGAATCATTTCTAACAAAACTTAGAGCATTCTAAAATGTACTAAATTACGAAAAATAACTGTTCGAACAGTTTTTTTCCGTGATTTAATGTATTTTTGAATAC